AGATGCCTCCTTGGAATTAGGTGGAAAGGAGTAGTAGAGTTGTGTGTCATCCGCGTAGAGATGGCACCCAACTCCAAAACTCCGGATGACCTCTCCCAGCGGTTTCATGTAGATGTTAAAAAGCATGGGCGACAGAATGGAGCCTTGCGGGACCCCACAGGTCAAAGGCCAGGGGTCAGAGCAGGCGTCTCCCAGCTTCACCATCTGAGTTCGTCCCTCCAGGAAGGACTGGAGCCACGACAGGACCGTGCCCCCAAGGCCCATCCCAGAGAGACGACCCAGAAGGATACCATGATCGATGGTATCGAAAGCCGCTGAGATGTCCAAGAGAACCAGCAGAGTCACACTCCCCCTGTCCAGCTCTCTGCGGAGGTCATCCACCAAGGCGACCAAGGCTGTCTCGGTGCCATGACCAGGCCTGAAACCAGACTGTGACTGATCTAGGTAGTTGGTGTCATCTAGGAAACTCTGGAGCTGGGAGGCGACCACCCGCTCCAGCACCTTACCCAAAAAGGGGAGGTTGGAGATCGGTCTGTAGTTACTCAGCACCGTGGAGTCAAGGGAAGCTTTTTTGAGGAGTGGGCGAACCACAGCCTGTTTCAAATTAGATGGAAAAATTCCTTGCTCCAACGATGCATTGACAATTGGTACAAACCAGTCAAGCAACCCCCCTCTGGCTGATTTAATGAGCCAAGATGGGCATGGGTCTAGAGATGAGGTGGTCGCCCTCACAGCCCCAAGAATCCCCTCAACGGTTTCAGGAAGAACAAGCCTAAAAGAATCCCACAAGATTGGACAAGCAGGTGCCTCCGTCACCTCTTCTGGCACTGCGATGGAATTGGAGTCAAGCTCAAGACGTATCTGGGCGACTTTACCTGCAAAATGGTGTGCGAAATCGCGACACCGAGCTGCAGGGTCATCAGCGACCTCCTCCGCCACAGGTGGGTGGAGGAGTTCTCCCACGACCCGGAACAGCTCCGATGATCTATTTGCTGCAGATGCTATACGGGTGGTCGTGAATGATTTCCTGGCCATCCGTATAGCCACAGAGTAAGCCTTAAGGGAGGCTTTAGCCCGTGCTCGATCAGATACATCTCGAGATTTCCTCCATTTGCGCTCTAGCCCCCTTCTCGTATGCTTCATCACAGCCAGCTCCTCGGTGAACCAAGGGGATGGCCTGTCACGACGCAACGAGATGGGACGTTCGGGTGCGATCGTATCTAACGCCCTGGACATCTCCCCATTATAGAGAGCTACCAAGGCGTCGATAGAATCGCCAGGCTCCAGGGCAGGAAGAACCCTAAGATTCCTCAGGAATCCATCCGGATCCATCAGTCTCCTAGGGCGGACCATCTTAATTTGTCCTCCACCCCTGCGGAGGTTAAGAGTCGCAGCAAGTCTAAAAGTGATCAGATGATGATCAGACCATGACACTGGAAGGATGTTTTGATCTTCCACTCTGATCATTTCGTTGTCCGCCACAAAAACAAGGTCGAGAGTATGTCCAGCTTGATGAGTGGGGCCAGATATTATCTGTGACAGTCCTATGGCCGCCATGGTGGCCATAAAGTCCTGAGCTGCGCCAGATAGAGTGGTCTCAGCGTGGATGTTAAAGTCTCCCAGCACCACCAGGCGCTGGGAGACCAAGGCCGAATTGGAGACCACTTCCGCTAGCTCAGACAGGGAAGCTGCTGGGTCACGAGGTGGGCGATACACCAGCAGAAACCCCACACTGTCACGGCTCCCCACTTTCAAGTGGACACATTCGAACCCAGAAGCCTGCGGAACAACGCATCTGATCACGGCGATGGATTGCCGAAAGACTACTGCGACCCCTCCTCCCCGCCCCCCTTGTCTGGCCTGCTGATGCACACCAAAACCTGGTGGGCACAGCTGAGAGAGGTTTACACCCCCCAGCTCGTCCAGCCAGGTCTCGGTAATGCATGCCAGATCTGCCCTCTCATCCAGGATCAAGTCCTGGATGGCCGCGGTCTTACCATTAACGGATCTGGCATTGATCAACAGGACCTTGAGACCAAGGGGGCTGCCAAGGAGCCTACCACTACCCACCTTTTCCAGGGTCGCAAAGACTCTGTTGCGCTTCTCCCTGGGATGTTTGTGGCCCGCAAATCTCCTCCCCCACACGACTCGGATGGCACCCCCTTCCTCCGGAACCTTCCCCCCCCCACATGGCCAGGATCTAGTCAGCTCTCAGAGGAGGAAGTCGGGCTGGGAAATAATCTCCCTTGGGCGTTTGGTAGGGATGATTCTGATTCTGATGTTGAGGTAGATAAGGAGACATCAAGGGAGCTGAGTGGGCTGAATAAAGGGAGCGTTCTCGAGCGGAGAAGTGTGGCTGGCTGAGTGGGGGCGACCGGGGCAGATGGGGTCTCGAAGTGATACGAACCAGGAGGGGGGGCCCTAACTGGGGAACTAGTTGTGGAGTTCGCACGGGGGCCAGATGGAACATGGCGAAAAGAAACCCCGGAATCAAACAAGGGGCGTATATGAGGGTCCACAACTACCCTTCTAATGGTGATGCCCCATTTCTTTAGGCCAGATTGTTTAGCCATTAGATCACCAAGCCAAGTGCTATCTTCTGGTGAAATTTGAAGACGGGTGGAGCGGTCAGAAGATTGGTAATCCCTCCACAACCACACTATGGCTTTTAGTCTTATATCCTGTGATCTTTTACCCAGGATTTGGGCCAAGGAATTACAAACTGCCCTCTTGGAGGTCCATCTGCCTCTGTTCAATAGTCATTTTGGCTTGCCCTTTCATCGTCTGGAGTTAAGCATTGGAGGATCTAGATTCTGACTTTTCAAATCTAAAATTGTGGAGCTGACTGTATTATGCAAAGCCTTCAAGAACGTTTTGTTTCAACGTTGCAGAGAAAGGCCACTGGACACAGCTGGAGTTCAAGACAGCTTTGCCTGCCGGACGCCTGGACCATTCCATGTGCATCATTCCATGGGAAGCACCATCTTCAGGAAGCTCAGGACTCACTCATTTGTGTCTAATATTTGGGGGGATGGACATTAAAGGGGAAATTTATGGGGACTGTGTTGTGAGCGTTCTGGAATAATACATACATATATATATATTTGAAGCTAGATAGCAGCACTTAAGCAATGCGGCTGCAACATTCAGGACTATGTAAACCCAAGCTTGCTTCCATTCCTCGGCCAAATTGCATTTTGGATTGGGAGGGCTATACATTTCAGAAAGTGGGACGCAAGTTTCCAATGCCAAGGTTGTTACCTGCAATGCCTGTGCAGGAAGTGACCAGGAAGTAAATAAATACAAACAAGAGATGCCAATTTGAGTCTTGATCATTTTGGGACAGTAGGGTTATCGGAGTTTCGTCACATGAAAATAGTTGAAGCAACAGAAATTGCCCTCTGCAGCTTTTGTGTACTTGGAATTGCATTCTATGTGTTGTCGAAGGCTTTCATGGCCAGAATCACTTGGTTGCTGTGATTGCTCACCTTGATTAGCATCAAATAGCCTTGCAGTTTCAAAGCCTGTCTGATTCCTGCCTGGAGGAATCTTTGTTGGAAGGTGTTAGCTGGCCCTGATTGTTTCCTGTCTTTATTCATTGCTAATCAAGGTGGCCAATTGCAACATTCACACTTGCTTCTGACAGACAATAGTTCTCTCTTTCACTTTGGACATTCCAGATATATAAACCTCATTTGCCTTGTTTCCAACACCTCTGAGGATGCCTGCCTTAGATGGAGGCGAAAGGTCAGAAGAGAATGCTTCTGGAACACGGCTATAGCCCAGAAAACTCACAGCAACACAGAATTGCATTCTGTTGCTTTAAGGCAAACGTATTAGTTTTACTGCAAGCTGCTGAGTCTCTTATAGAGCAGGATAGAAACATTTTGTGCTCATTGAGACCTCTGGAGGCATTTCTGCCCCATTAGATAAGATGGGTCACTTCCAAACTACTTCTAATTCTAAAGTAACCTATTCACAACCTCCCGTGTCACTAGAAGAGCCAGTTAATCTGGATTAGAAAGGGCAGGCAAAATTATGAAGCTACATCCTCCTCCTGGAGCCAACAGCAAGCACTAGTGAGCATGAACAAGGCCGAGGGGTCCAGTGTAAGTAACAAATTTATTGTTGCCACTTGGAGGGTAGAAAATTTCCCCACAGAACGCACACGACCCGAATTGTTAAATAAAATGGTTTTGACAACAACGATTCCCCCTCCGTGCCCCCCTCCCTCCCTCCTGACATTTACCAGCTGCTAATGAAAAGCAGTAAACAGCCACTTTGGGCTAGCAATGGCCAACTCCACTCAAGTGAAGATTCCGATCACATTCCTGATCTCGAGTTCAATAAGTTTAAACAAAAGTTCCAAGTCCAGTATTTACAGTGTCAAGGCTCGGCCCAACGGCAGCCTACAACTCATCCCTCTCTCCGGCACCGGCTTCTTCTTCCTCACCAGGAGGAGGGCCTGCTCCACCGTACAACTTGGTCACGATGGGCTGCACCACCTCCTCCAGGGCTTTCTTCTGGGCCTTGAAGTCTTCGATGTCGGCATCCTGGTGGCTCTCCAGCCACTCGATCTTCTCCTCCACGGCCTTCTCCATGATCTCCTTGTCCTCCGCCGAGAGCTTGCCTCCCAGCTTCTCCTTGTCCCCAATCTGGTTCTTCAAGGAGTAGGCGTAGCTCTCCAGCTCGTTCCGGGAGTCGATGCGCTCCTTCAGCTTCTTGTCCTCCTCGGCAAACTTCTCAGCGTCGTTGACCATCCGCTCAATCTCCTCGGGTGTCAAGCGGTTCTGGTCGTTGGTGATGGTGATCTTGTTCTTGTTGCCGGTGCCCTTGTCCTCGGCGGTGACTCGCAGGATGCCGTTGACGTCGATCTCAAAAGTGACCTCGATCTGGGGGACGCCACGGGGGGCTGGAGGGATGCCCGTCAGGTCAAAGGTGCCCAGGAGGTGGTTGTCCTTGGTGAGAGGACGCTCTCCTGCAAAGGGAAAAAAGACACGGCTCAGAATATTCTGCTCCAGTTGACAGGAAACCCATTTGATATTTCAACCTGAGAATTAAAACATTTGATTCTAAGCCAGTATTTGCAAAGCTGGCGGTTCCTTTGTATGTAATTGATATGCTTTTATTGATATTGTTTTATTTGGTTTTATACTTAAATTGACCGTTTTCAATTGTATTTTATGTCTAATACTGACTGTAAACTGCCCTGAGTCACCTGCGGGCTGAAAGGGGCGGTATATAAATATTTATTTATTGTGTCAGGAGCGAACCAAAATAGTTGTATTGCATTTTAAAAAAACAAAAAAAAAAACAAAACCAGAAAGTATATAAATAAAAGTAGTAAATAATAATAAATAAATGAAGTAAATATAAATGTAGTAAATAAATAAGTAAATAAAATAGTACAGCTAAAGCATCTTCTGCAGAGACCATTGTAAACTCTGCCTGTTACAGATCTGTCTGAACAGTAGCATTCAAATTTTTGGGCTTGAACAAATCTTGGCCCGGCCTTTTAAATTTTTAATTGCCTTGAACAGACAGGATTCTTTTTTAATCTATGTGTGTTATGGTGACAATTTTTATGCTTACATTTTGTTAATCTTATGGTTATGTTCTTTTTACTCTATGTTTTGTAATGTTACTTGGGAACCGCTCGGGGAGATGGAGCGGTATATAAATAACATTATTATTATTATTATTATTATTATTGAACACATTGAACAAGGAATGGTAATACGACTGTGAGATCGAGATCCGATTCTAATGAGGCGTGATGATTTTTATGTGTAGTGTTTGTGTATGTTTGTTATATAGATTGTTCAGTGTTGCACATTTTATTGTAAACCGCTTCGAGTCGCCTTGTAGGCTGATATTTGCGGTATACAAAAGAAGTAAATAAATAAATAAATAAATATTCAGAAACATTTCCCTGTTGCCATTATTTTGTGTGACCCCAACACTGAATTAAGGGTACACCCCCATTTGAGGTCCAGACCCACCATTTAAGACCATACTATATCCCACAAAAAAGGTTAAGGCATACTGAGAATTTGGCTACATTGCTGGGTTTATTGTCCCTTCCAATGGCCACAAAGCTTGCCAAGTATGTCAATGAGGAAGACTGCTTACCTTCACAGACTTTGATAGTGACAGTTGGCTGGTTATCGGAAGCCGTGGAAAAGATCTGGGATTTCTTGGTGGGGACAACAGTGTTCCTGGGGATCAGCTTGGTCATCACACCACCAACTGTCTCAATGCCCAAGGTCAGAGGACACACATCGAGCAGCACCAGATCACCTAATGAAGAAGAAGGGTAGATCAATCAGTGATACATGAAACTTCCATTTCTATGAGTAACATTTGCTGCTGCCCTACAGACACATGGAGATTTTTGGTATGATACAAATCACACATTTATAATTGTTATCATGTCACTACTATAATAATTTTAAAGAGCCAGTATATGGAACATGGTTTAATATTTATATTGGAAAGTGCTTATTGTACTTTTAAAGGTTGTATATTTTATGGCTAATACAATAAACAATTCACATCAAGTGTCAGGTCTAACAAAAACCTCTCAACTTAAATCAAGCGACTATTTCATGACATTCAACCTACCAGTGTCCTGATCCCCAGACAGCACTCCAGCCTGGACAGCAGCACCGTACGCTACGGCTTCGTCAGGGTTGATGCCTCGCGATGGCTCCTTGCCATTGAAGAACTCCTTCACAAGCTGCTGGATCTTGGGGATCCGAGTGGAGCCGCCCACAAGCACAATCTCATCAATGTCAGTCTTCTTCAGGTCCGCATCTTCCAGGACCTTCTGGACAGGCTTCATGGTGGAACGGAAGAGGTCCTAAAAGCCACGTTAAATAAAGTATTAGTAGGTGCACAGCATGCCAGTAACAAGTCACAACAAAAAGATGACAGCAAGGCACATGTGTCAAGCTGTGGACCAAATCCAGCACTTCATGTCACTTTTTGTGGCTCTCCAGATGCTGGACACCTGCTAGATTGATTTTAGATACAAGGCTTGTGGACATAATCTGAACTTTAAAATGTTCTTTAGTCTTGCCTTAACTTTAGAGCCATAAATGCAATTCCCATTATCATTCAATTTATTTATTTACAGTATTTATATGCCGCCTTTCTCACCCCGAAGGAGACTCAGAGCGCCTTACAATATATATTTTCATACAATATATTATATTATTAGCATAGTTCAATATCAGTATTATAAATTACTATATTGCATTATACCATTATATTGTAATATTGTTAGTAATATTACATGTAACGTAAATATATAATTATAATATTGTATTATTACTAGTATTGTATTACAATATAATATTATAAATATTATATGTATATACAATATACTATGTTATATTAATATATAATATATTGTATTAATTCAACCCAGGCATGAACCAGCAAGTCTATATAATGTGACTAATAGCTGATATGTCTGACATTTCTGTGACCTTGATGTCTAGCGTATTTTTCAAAGTGCCAAGATCTTTACCCACACAGCTCTGAGCACCTACCATGTTCAGCTCTTCAAACTTGGCCCTGGTCAAGGTCTCAGAGAAGTCTTCCCCCTCAAAGAAGGACTCAATCTCAATTCTGGACTGGTGCTGGGAGGACAGGGCCCGCTTGGCCTTCTCCACCTCACGCCGCAGCTTCTGCACAGCCCGGTTGTCCTTCCGCACATCCTTCCCGGCCTTCTTCTTGTACAGCTTGATGAAATGCTCCATCACACGCTGGTCAAAGTCCTCGCCCCCGAGGTGAGTATCACCATTGGTGGCCACCACCTCAAAGACACCGTTGTCGATGGTGAGGAGGGAGACGTCAAAGGTCCCGCCCCCCAAGTCGAAGACCAGGATGTTCTTCTCGCCTTCCCTTTTGTCCAGCCCATATGCAATAGCAGCAGCAGTACTGAGGGAGGAGGAGGAAGCATTACAACACTTGGATTCACAGACCCTCTAATATCCCCAAATCTCTAATATCACCAGGGAATATACTTACGGTTCATTGATGATTCTCATGACATTCAATCCAGCGATGGTCCCAGCATCTTTTGTGGCTTGGCGCTGGGCATCATTGAAGTAAGCTGGCACAGTCACAACAGCATGAGTAACCTGGAAAGAAAAAAGCCAAAGTAGAAATAGGATTAGCAAAGCGGCATCTTTTGGCCAGCCAAGGTATTTTTTAGCATCATCATTTTCTGGCAAATCAAGAAAGTAGAGACCTCTCATGTAAAGCAAACAAGTCAAGCTTCTTAGAAAGAGACCACAGCTTAATACAAGAGCATATTTTACATAGAAAAGATCCCAGGTCTAATCCGATTTATAAGGTCAGGACCAGGCAAGACATTCACCTAAGTCCTGCTACTAAGCCCTGTAGTAAAGTGGACTAGATAGAACAGCTTGACTTTTAAACACATTCACACCAGCTGTAAAAAGTCCATCTCGAGACATGCATCTTTGAGCCTTACCTTCTTTCCCAAGTAGGCCTCTGCTGTCTCCTTCATCTTGGTCAAAACCATGGCAGAAATTTCTTCTGGGGCAAAGGTCTTCATTTGCCCTCCTCCGATATCAACCTGAATATGGGGCTTGGCTTTCTTTTCAAGGACCTGTTCAGAGAAAAGTGGAGTATTGTAACAATGTTTTGGTTTCAATTGCCTTGACATCTAAAAGCTTCCATATTGAGAGATGCTTCTCAAACACAGCTAGGCTTATTGGGAATAATGATCATGATTTGTTAGGATCACTGACCCATCGAGATATAGATCATGAACTGTTAGGATCATAATCTAATCAGGTTAGCAAAGTTTATTTGGTAATGGATGATCCCTGGGCATGTAGATATTTTGTTTCTGTTTGATGCTTTCAGCACATTTCTTGTCAAGGGTTAAGTAACATTTCAGAGAGTTTGTATCTTTAATTTATAATCTGTAACAGTTTCTTCACAAATTATGTTACTTTACACAGCTCTTTAGTAAGAGTTTATTTTCAAATAAAACACAAGCCTCAACCATTTCTAACTTCCTAACATGAGCTCCTGACAGACTTCTATACTCAAGCTCATTCAAGGCACAGCACACTTCTCTAACAGTCATTCCTCTATCGACATTCCCTAACTGCCATCCTGTTTTAAATCTGAACATTCTAAACTGCCACTGAGTCAGTCACATGACCTGCAGCTCCTCCCACTACTTTAGGTATATAGAGATAAGGAAACTGCAATTCAAATAAAGACATATACTTCAGGTTCTCATCAAGCAAAAACAGTCAACTTCCCAAGTAGGGACAATATTGATTTTCCTGCCTTTCAGCCTATGAGGACTTGAGGCAGCTTACAGTAACAAGACACAATCCAATATATTGAAAAATATGTCAAAAACAAAATTTAACAAGTAATTAAATATTTCTGTCACAAATACAAAATACTTGTACAATTAAATATAGATTTAAAACTAAAACAAGGCAGTGCTATGCCCACGTAATAGATAACTTATGTTTAGTGAGTCCCATTCAGTCATTAATTAAACTTGGCTAGTCCTGTTTTTCAGATGAGTAGTGCCATGAAAGTCTGAGCTAAAAGGATTTATAATTACTTTACATGTTATAAAGACTGTGACTAAAATGACTTACCTTGAAAGGCAGGTATTTGACATCCTGCTGCACAGAAGGATCATTCCAAGTTCTTCCAATGAGACGCTTGGCATCAAAGACAGTGTTCTCAGGATTGGAAGTCAGCTGGTTCTTGGCTGCATCACCTATGAGGCGCTCTCCTTCTGGAGTGAAGGCCACATAGGAGGGAGTAATCCGGTTGCCCTGGTCGTTGGCAATGATCTCCACGCGACCGTTCTTGAAAACGCCAACACTGTGGGCAGAAAAGAAGAGCCATTAGCATAACCGAAGCAAGGTATGGTGCCTCCTCCAGAGTCATAATTCCAGTACTTTTTGATCTAAGACACAGCCCTCTTATCTCCCTTTCGCATCAGTTTATAAATGCTTGAACACATAAAATTAGAAACAAGACCAAACAGGTTCCTCTTTCACGTACCAGGAGTATGTGGTTCCAAGATCAATGCCAACCACGGTGCCCACCTCTTCCTTCTTGTCCTCGTCTTGAGCGAACACGCTGCCCACAAGCAGCAGGCAAACAAGCATGTTGTACTTCATGTTGCTCTAGTATATGTGCCTCCCACAACAAAAAAAATCTGTAGGAAGGGAAACAAGAGTGTCAGTTGGAAAACTAGGCCAATCTTAACCACTACAATGGTGACATTTTCATAAAAATCATATATGTTATAGCAGAAAGTAAACAGGAATATGTCACAAATCCACACTACACCAGATTTCATCAACTCAGTTAATACTTAAAGCAACTCAAAGGAAATTGATTCATCAGCCCTTGATTTCCCCATTTTGAAGAGTATTCATAACAGAATATGAAAACGTTCTAGTGCATTCTGTGAATACACTAAATAGAAGGAAGGCCTAGTACAATACAGTTCAACTATTTTTTAAAATTGGTGTCTTTTTTTACATCTATTTTAGGATTATTTGGGGGTGCCAATTCAGAAAATGGCATTGGATAGACATCATCAGCTCTCGTTTCTTAGATATGACTATCATGATTTCTTATGGGCAAGCAGATGGTGAGTGGTAGACGGCATGTTCTGCATTTCAAAAATTAGAGCGGATGAGGGGAAACTGGTTCCATTTTTGGAACCAGCAGGTCAAATATACCCAGAAACTAGGCTATTGTTTAAGACTCCAAGATGCATGTTGGCTAGTGTTATTTTTTCACAACCACAGATTAGAAACAAGTAGTCCTCTAACCTTTGCTGGACTGCAGCTCCCATCAACCCCAAGTAGGCCTCTTGGACCTGATGAGAGTTGCAGACCAAAACTAGAAGGAGCACACCCTTTCACTCTATGGTTCTGGCATCCTGTTACAACAGACTTAACAGCTTACTCACACCTATATATTTGTTTTGTTTTTTATCCTTATCATTATGAGCAAAGTCAAAAAATGAACATTCCATTAACAGATAAGGCCCTAAACACCTTGAGAGCAGAATTGGATCAGATTAATATTTAGATGGGAGACTGCCAAGGAATACCAGATGGTGCAGGCTCTGAGGAAATGCTCTGAAATTTATGGACGTGCCATGATCAGCAGGCGACTTTGAAAGAACACACATTCATCACATCATAGATTGTTAAACAATTGGAATGGGCCCCCAAGGGACATGTAGTTCAAGTCCTATTCAGAAATACACTGTGATAGGTGGAGAGAAACCACCAACTTTTGGGGGACTGGGTGTTTGCTGCACAAAGCCCACCAAATGAAGGGAAAAGTCCCTTTGACATTAGAAAGTGCTCCCCAAAATAGGACTAGGATTGAACACATGCCCATTTCTGGTTCAGATATTTCAGGGTTAGAAGTGATCAGAAATGAATGGACCATCACTGTTCAACTATATCTGACTTTGCAGCTATAATAATCCTGGAAGAGGCTCCTGCAACCCTGATTTAAAGATGAGGAATGCACAGATGTATAGCCTGGGAGTCCCTCCACAAAGTACCTCAAATTTGGTCCCAAAACTAAATCTTTAGGTATCAAAAATAGGCCATCTTTGAGATTCAAATGACAGGGAAGGAGATTCCACCTGAACTTTAGAAGAACTTCCTGACTGTAAGAGCTGTTCAGCAATGGAACTCTGTCTCAGTGTCTAATAAAGGTTCCTTCCTTGAAGAGGCTGGATTGCCATCTGTTGGGGGTGTTTTGATTGTGCTTTTCTTGCCTGGCAGAAGAGGGAATTCTTTGAGATCTCTTTCCAACTCTGACAAGTCCCATGAAACCTTTGCAATGATGGTGTGTGCCCATACAATGCCACACAGGTTGAAAACTGACCCAGAGCAGACGTGATTTGGATTTTGCTCAGTCTTACATTGAGACTTGGGTCCCATCTCCCAAAGTATAACCATATGATTTGGAAAAGAGCCTCCTCCAGACCTGGGCAAGTTTCTTGTAAACTGCTAATCTTTCAAACTCAAAAGTATTCCTTTACAACATCTTAACCTGGAGGTGTGTTTCCTCCCTCCACAAATGGACAAATTTATGCAATGCTTTAGACATAAAATAAACCATGTATTATTAGCATTTAGAGAAGAGGTTCTCAACCTGGGGTCCCCAGATGTTTTTGCCTACAACTCCCAGAAATCCCAGCCAGTTTACCAGCTGTTAGGATTTCTGGGAGTTGAAGGCCAAAAACATCTGGGGACCCCAGGTTGTCAACCACAGATTTAGAAGTTTAAAGTACTTTATCTATATATACACATTAACAGATAAAAATAGTACGGTTTATCAAAGTTTAGATAATACGCCTTTACACATGCAACTACTATTTTCAACATCTATAACTATAATAGTACATAGAAATATATATATGGATGCACACACATTTATTAATATTTAATGACAGGCTTATAGATTATACACTACCACTAAAACACACAAGTACTATTTTCAACATCAATAAATACACCATATTACTATATGAAAATATATAGATACAAATTATATTTACACACACATCATATATTAATGTTTAGATAAGTTTATAGATTATACATTATAACTATATATATAGTTTATTAATATTTAGATTTTAGGCGCATAAATTATACACTATTACTAATAAAAACAATGCAATTACTATTTTTCAACATCTATAAATATGTTGCTATATACCATTATATTTACACACACATAGTTCATTAATGTTAAATGATAAGCTTATAGATTATACACTATTTCTATAGAAATATATATATATATATATATATATAGTTTCACACACATAGTTTATTAATGTTGAGATGATAGGCTTACAAGGTTATACACTATTCCTATAGAAATATATATAGATTCACATAGTTTATTAGTGTTGGGATGATAGGCTTAGGTTATACACTATTCCTATAGAAATATAGATACAAAGTTTATTAACATTGGGAGGATAGGCTTATAGATTACTAATACACACATACAACTATTTGCAATATCTATGAATACATAATAGCATATATACACTATATATACATACAATATATATATAGCATATATACACTATATATATATCTCTATATACATATATATACACACATATAGATAGATATATATATAAACATATACAGAGAGATAATGGTATAATTCATTCATATTCAGACTCCAGGCTTAAACTACAACTAGCAAGTTACATATATACATAAATGGATATATATAGGAATAATAGCATTTAATAGTTTACCACAATTAGTAATAAGGCGTGGTTCGTTAAGAGGCTCACCTCTATTAATCAGCTATAGCCGTCCGCACTGGTAACGACGTTTCTAACACGCGATAAGGTATACTCCTTCCTTTCAGGCTTCTCAAGAGTGTCTAGGCCCAGCCGCTCGTGCGGCCTTATATAGTCGCCCGCTCCCTTGCGTGGATGGCTGTGGTTGGTCGGTTTTTCCTCGCTGGAGCTTCCCGATTGGTTGCTTCATTCCTAGCTGGCCGGCCCCGATTGGTCCGCTTGTGTAGTGACGTCACGCACCCGTCGCGTGCCTCGCCGTCGGGCCTTTCTCCCCTTTTCTTTTTGCTTTACCTTCTTTCCGCTTACCCTCCACGCTCCTAATTGGTCCACCCAACCGGCCCCGCGGACCAATCACAGCCCGCGCTGTGGCCAAGCGGAAAGAGTTCATTGGCTGGGAGGTGACACGGCGTTGAAAAGGCTTAGGATGAATCCTTCTGGAAGTTGCCATGGTTACCAGGCCTAGCCAGGCGCCAAGGCTTTTTGAAGCCTGAGAAAGTGATTTCTCAGAACGTGAGACCATACAGATAAAATTACATATAGGATTATCACACAAACGCATGTAGCAAAGCTCCATGCCAGAAATACAACTTAATGGTGTAACATTAGAAAATGTTTATTTTATTTTATTGTAATTCGTATTTTATTTTATTGTAATTTGTTATTTGGGCCTGGCCTCATGTAAGCCGCCTCAAGTCCCCGTTGGGGGAGATGGTGGGGGGATATAAATAAAGATTATTATTATTATTATTATTATTTGCACTCCCTTGGCAGCCACCTCTCCACCCAAGTCAACATTGACACCGAAATACAACACCGCCTGAGCTCTGCGAGTGCAGCATTTTTCAGAAGGAAGCAGAGAGTGTTTGAGGACCGGGACATCCGTATAGAGAACAAGGGGCTTGTTTATAAAACTATTGTCCTCCCAACCCTGTTATATGCCTGCAAAACATGGACTGTCTACAGATGTTACACTCAACTCCTGGAACGATTCCATCAGCATTGTCTCCGGAAAATCCTGCAAATCTCTTGCGAAGACAAGCGGACAAATGTCAGCGTGCTGGAAGAAGCAAAGACCACCAGCATTGAAGCGATGGTCCTCTGCCATCAACTCAGCTGGACTGGCCACCTTGTCCGGATGCCCGACCACCGTCTCCCAAAGCGGTTGTTCTACTCCGAACTCAAGAATGGAAAACGGAATGTTGGTGGACAGGAAAAGAGATTTAAAGACGGGCTCAAAGCCAGCCTCAAAAACTGTGGCATAGACACTGAGAACTGGGAAGCCCTGGCCCTTGAGTGCTCCGGCTGGAGGTCAGCTGCGACCAGAAGTGCTGCAGAATTTGAAGAGGCACGAATAGAGGGCGAAAGAGAGAAACGTGCCAAGAGGAAGACGCGTCAGGCCAACCCCGACCGAGACCACCCGGAAACCAATGCCCTCTCTGCGGAAGAAGATGCAGATCAAGAATAGGGCTCCACAGCCACCTACGGACCCACCGCCATGACAACGAACTTGAAGGACCATCATCCTCGGACTATGAGGGATCGCCTAAATAAGTAAGTAAGTAAATAAGTAAAGTAAGTACACTGATTCTGGAAGATTATCCTACTTGGACAACGAGGAATAGCCTAAGTAAGCAAAGCTGCAATTGGATGTACTACTTTATAATAAAGTTTTGACTTCCCATGACTGGATTTACTAATCCCATCACTTTGGACAATGATATGTATAGAACACAATGGACATGGGCATCGTGAGTGCCCGACCCACCTTAATGGGTCACTCATCTTCACAAAAGACTTTCATAACATGCATGGGACCTGATGGCCCCATGAAACCTGGTTATATATGTTGTTGTTGTTGTTCATTCGTTCAG